AAAAAAATAAATAATTATTTACCTGCATATGCATATAAATTGACAGTATTTAATTGAGATACTTCATTTCACATCAAGAATTTAATACTAAAATATGTCTTGTTGCAAATATGAAATAAAACGCAATCAACTTATAGCTAAACTACTTAAAAAGCTCAAGAACTATTTTAAAAACTACTACAACCTGAATTGCCATAAAATTTGCCTTCCTCATGTGGTATGTCAAATACAATTAACTCTTTATTTAACTAAAAAAATTAACTTTAGGTTTAATTAACTTCTGTGTTGTTGAGTAGGTTTTGCATGGATTAAAGCCTCAGTTAATTATTTCTTTTCTGCTACAATCATGAAAACATATCTTGTCAGCCAAACTCACTTATTTTGCAGTCTTGCTCATCTGAACCATCTCCACAGTCATCAAACCAATCGCACTGTAGCTCCATTGGAATACATGTCTTATCATTACAAGCAAACTCATCTTTTTTACACGGTCTTGCTTTATATGTGATTTTATCTATATAATTACAAATTAATAAGAGAAAAATAAATCAGTATTTAAGAGTCTTAGATTATTTTAGACACATACAAATGGGAATGACCATGAAGCGTTAAGCAACTAGAAATTATTTCAAGCTTAATTTCTTTCAATTTCAAATTCTGATCTACTAACCTCCAGTTAAGCTTTACTGAAGGACAAGCAGATCTCTGTAACAAAGTTTGCCTTCAAGTTGTTTTCTTTGATCTGAATGCCTTGAAAGGTAATATCACCTACCACAGTGATCTTCATCCGAGTTATCACCACAGTCATCAACCTCATTGCAAATCTGCTCAGGTCGCAGACAAACCCTGTTGTTTCTACATCTGTACGGCCTTGTTGGAGGGCATGGAAACTTTACTGTATATTAAAAAAAAGAATCAGCTATTACCCAGCTAGTATTCTTGAACTTTCTTTAATGCTTCCTTATCAAAGCAATAACAGGCATGGGAACACAGCTGTACTTGACATATGAATGGTACTTGATTTTAACTTCTGTACCTAATGGAATAACAACGTCAACAATGTTTACAGTATAAGTTCTTCATTCAGGGAATGAAATTATTTTGTGTGATAAGGGTAATTATGCTTCTTTTTAAGAATCAGTAAATATGACAGAAATAAAACAAAGGAAGTAGGAAATTTAATGATAATCAATATTTCAATGTAGAAGTAACTTTTTCCCATCTGTGCATTTCCTACAAAAAGATTAATTTCTCACAAATATCTTATCTGAAATTACACGATTAGCAATAACAAGAGAAAACTATATCCCACATTTCAAGCTAATCTTCTAAAAGTAAAATAAAGAAAACTTAGACAGATATCTCCTTATATATTTATGTATATTACATCTTTTCTTGCTTTACTACATGAAAAGCACTGAAAAATGTAATGTCATACCACACATCTCAGCAACTTCATCAGAGTTATCCCCACAGTCATTCTCGCCATCACAAACCCAAAAATGCAGTTTGCAGAGGGAATTGTTGCACAAAAATTCATCAGCTCTACATATATTTCCCCCTGGGAGGGTGAAAAGACAGGAAAAAAAACCAAGAAAACAGAAAGACAAAAGAAAGAACATCAATTCTTGATAAAACCAGTACAACCACTTATCACATACTATCTGCAGAGAATGACACATAACTAAACGAACAAATCCCAAATGAAAGGGTTGGAGAAGCAGAGAGAAATATTCATTTAAAAAAATCTCTTCCTTGACCATACACTACTTTTTCTTTTCATGACTGTTAGCTAGGAATTACCTATTTGGCCTGACTAGAAAGGACAGTTATCAAAGACAGACACCGACAACTCACCAGCTAGGTATGTTCCCTTTGCATTTAGCCAGGAGATGCTTAAACTATCTTTCTGTCTGAAACTTCCTTTGGTGATGCTGCCTTTCAGGAAAGACCTGGCTAGGTACATCAGTAATTTGTGTTGTCAGAGAATGTACAAACCAGAAAACAGAAATACGGTCAAACTTGTGAAAGGCCAGTTTGGTCCAGGTTTGTTTCACATGAATGTCTGGTCCTCCACCTATTCCTACTCCCTCTGAGACACAAACCGTGTTCAGAAGAGACAAAGTGATTGCAGTCCCTCAGCCATGAGGTAGCATCTTTTTCTTCTCCTGAGGAGTAACAGGCTTGTAACGTCCCCATCAACTATAAACTCTGTGATTAGGGAAGATCTAGGCATGTAGGCAGAGAGTGGGTAAGACTAAGTGACCTCTAACAGTCTCTTCCTTTTTGTAACTTCTGAAATTTCTCATTAGGATATTTACTGAACACAGATGCAGCAAGAATAAGTTCTTCCGTGTTACTTTAGTATTACCTGAACTCTGAATCATCTAACAAAATGAAACAGAGGGTGAGAGAAAATGTTTTAAGCTGGAGTGCTCAAGCTTTAAAAATTGGTTCAAGCTGGATTCAGTTTTAACACATGTAGCAGTAAGAAGGCATTTTCTTTCAAAATTATAACTAAATTTTATCACTACCAATCAATGAAGTTATGAAAACTTCTTGAAATTAATTTTCTACATAACACATTTTTACGGTAACTGGATTCTCAGTTTCCTGAGAGGAGTAGAGTATAAAAGAAATAAAGCTGTGTACCTGCAGAGGAGGAAACAACAAAATTTTATATAAGACCAAAACTCTCACCGTGGCTTACCTCAATGCATTACACCCATCCTAATAGTTAGATCAGGCTCCAGTGGCTTTTCACTTATTCATTCAGTGCCCTGTTCACACCCCATTAAAATCAACAGAAGGCTTTCTTTCGCTATAAAGGGTTCAGAATGGTTTAAATTTTTTTTCCAGAAAATTAATTTGCATGAAACACTCACCGTGTAAGGGGATGTTGGCAACTCTCACACTATGTTGCCAAATATAATTCACTCTCATTGCAAATATAACTTATGAACATTAACAGAAATATTCTTTATCATCATCCAAGGAAAAATACATAAAATTCAAGTATTCTTCATGATGAAAGACATGAATATAAATAATTGTGTGTGTAATCACAATAAAACTATAATTCTAGTTGTATAATAAGATTGAAAAGAGCTATGTTTATAAATATCCACAGTGGGCTACAGATAAATATTATGGAGATTGTCTTAGAATGCTGTAGAATAAAACTCAATTTGTGTTTGCTATATTTCCAAAGAGGAAAAAATTAGTTATCAGTGAGATAAACTGGCATTTGTTTCATGTGATTGCTCTGCCTGTCATAATTCCTTTATAGAATAGATTTCTATAACAGAAATCATAATTGTGACATAAATACAAAGTATTATAGCAATATCCAACTAGGCAAAAGGCTTCTTATTGCATTATAAGCAATTTGCAGTTCACAGAAGCTCCATTATGCTACCCAAAGAATAATGTGGGCTTCAGATAAAATAAGCGCATTACTACTTACTTACACTTCATTGGTTTTTAAAGAGATACAGTCCAGATATTTTAAAAGCAGTTTTAAAACGGACTAAAAGTTTTTTAAAACTTTGCTGATCTCAGTCTTCTCAAAACAATTCATTCTTCAACACTTCCAAATAACATATAAACATCTCTGGAACATTCTTCCCATTTTCTTCATTTTCTGGTCTCTCTTTCAAACTTAATCATCCCATATAACTTCTTTTTTTTCCTAGTGGTAAGTGTTGGTGACTTACAACAAAATAAGGGAAGGATATTTTACTCCGCAGTTGCTTGCTTCATCTCTGATTATTATTACTTATCATTGTACTGCATTATGCTTTTGAAGTTACACACATACCATGTGACTGTAGGTGACTAACAGATAGAACAACTCACTTTAAAGAAAAGGAAAGAAGATAAATCTGGAAAAAACAAGAAGCTGACAAAATGCTGAGTAAAATTTTGCTTTTTAAAAAATTTAAAAATTTAATTTGAGTATGAACTTCTCTGTTTATCACAATTACTGAATTACTACACTTACTAAGAATTTTGTGCAGAGTTACACTGCTACTGCCTGGTAGGTGAAGCTAAAGCTAAAAAAAAAAAAAAAAAAAAATCAGAAATAAAGGCTTGCATGGTCTTACCCTCAGAAGGAATACTATGGAGAACTCATTTAATAATGTTTAATTGCATACATCTATGTGTCTGTTTGTATATATAGATATGTATGTAAATATGTATGAATGCTCAATTGAAAAGACATATTAGAACAAGATTCGTGAATTTGCAGCAACTATGAGAATTAGACCAACAGATGTACTTCTCAAAAACATATTTGGAAGCTTAATCATAAGCATGAAAGTCTGACCGTAGTGTTTAGCTTCATGTGAATCAACTTATGTGCATAGTTCTGCTCTCTAAGGAGAGCGAGAATTCAAAATGTGGTTTTATGGGTTCTGGTTAGTTGCAACATTTCATCTCCATGGAAATAAATAGAAAACTGGGGTCTTAAGATTACTTATTTAGCAATTTTTCCTTATATTGCATGGCTTTGTAATTTATTGTTGCCTATAAAACTGTAAATTAACTGGATTTATTACTGAATTCTCTGATGAGACAGAATATGCTTCCAGTAATAACACAACCTTTTGGTCCTCGGGGAAGGAAACACAAAGAAGGAACAATGAGCTATGAGTTATAAACAGTATAAGTTTTGCTTCGTCCTACAAATCGCTTGTGAAGCTGCTATACTGTCTTTGTAGAAGGAGGTCACAGAGCTTTCATTTCATCACTCAGAATGGTCAGGGTACCACTAACTTACAACGTGTGTTAACACAAAAACCACTAAAGTAAGCCTTTTAAAGAAAAGCGTCTCCTGCCTTGGTCACAGTTTTCTTCGTCACTGCCATCCACACAGTCGTGGATCCCATCACAAAGCCATCTGACAGGGATACAGTAGGCCTTATTTTTGCATCGAAACTGATCTTCTTTGCATTCCGTTACACAATCCATCTGTGTGAATACAGATATGAATAAGAAAAACAACATACTTAAAGACAAACCTAACAAAAACTACCACTGCTGTTTTTCGTTGCCTTATGTATTTAATACAATAAAGTTGTCCCTGACAATGGAATGTGCAATTTAAATAGTTACCGAAGTCCAAGTGAAATTGTAACCACATATTATATATGTTCTGATATTACTTCTTCATGTTGCTTAGTATTAGCAGTGGAAACAATGGCTACATTCACATTTCTGAAGTCCACTGCCCTAAGAGAACCAACCCTGGACATGAGGCCAGTTAGTGCAAACTGGCTCATATCCACATTGATCTCCGGAGTGGATTGTCTTCACCTGCACTGAGTAGCATTTGGCTCAGGCATCCTTCAGGCTCTAACCGGCACCTTTATGGCTCTGAGAAATAAGAACTATTTTTGGTCTTTTTCCTTGAAGTTGTTCATGAAGGTGGTAATTTTTTAAAAAGACACCAACAGTGCAACATGTAGGAAGAGCACTGAAGGAAGAGCCATGAAGGCCCACAGAGGCTGCTGTGCCTGCTAGGATTGTATTAGATGAATCTAGAGGACAGAGGGAGCCAAATGTGACGCAAACTTGTCCACGCTGCCAGTACAGAGCAATCCCTGAAGAGAACTCCCCTAGAAACACGCTCAGGTTTTAACTCGGGGCAAACAAATTTGTCTACTCCAAAAGGTGGCCACAGAGCAAACAAACATAATGCAATGTAACTACCAGGGAACCAAAATCATGGGGCTAAGTTATCCGACAGTGTTCATGGATGCAAAAAAAACCCATTTGCCCTTTTAATTATCTTTAGTTCTAAAACTGTTAACAAATTTCAAATTTCAAATTTCAGATGGTAGGGGAAAAAAAAACCAACAGAAATTTGTCAGCTACCTCATCAGATCCATCAGCACAGTCATACTCTCCATTACATTTCAAAGATGCCGAAATACAGCCTCCACTTGCACACACGTACTCACTTGGAGAGCAGGTTGGAGATGCTGGTTACAAACACATATTTTAGCATTAAGAAAAAGAGAATTAATAATTAAGTTGCTTTATAATTTAGTGTTTTCATCTGGTTAAAATAGTGAGCAAACATTATTTGTAGCTGACCAGAGCTTTTCCAAATGTTCGTAAACTACAATGAAATATTTCACAAAACTTAATTGTTGCATCCTAAGTAAAATGTATAATGATAGGGAATGGATATTTGTGTTTTATCACTGAGAAATTTCTTTTTGTGTTTTCCTTGTACTTGGTAACGATGGTTACTACACACATACACATATTCATAGAACAAGTATATTAAAAAATTGCGTTCTTTAAAACAGGTTTAGGGTTTAGCTACAGTTATATAAGTGTTTATAATTAAATAAGCTTAATTTATAAGAAACCATGGGCTTAGAAAGTATACATTATTACAATTAAAATAAATACATATTAATTAGTTTTATTTAACATACAGGTGGATATTTTTGTTGCATTGTAAATCAGGGGAGTTTTGTCATAGGCTTCTAGCAGTTGCACCTATCTAGACGAAGTTTACCAAAAATTTAGGAAAATTCCTGCAAAAATAAACAACTGCATTTTCCAAGACAGTAATAAGGAAATAAAACAATAACAACAACAACAACTAAATTTGCTAAAGAAAACCTTTGCATAAGGACTAGTAAAAATTGAACGAACACCACAAAGCGAAAAATCCCCAGAGACGCTTTACTAACATGCCAAGAATTACTTCTCTATTCAGAGCAGAATTTTATAAGCTGAGCATACATTATCAAATTGTATTTCATCATAATTAAATTAAATACCATTCCCCCCAACAAGCTTCATATTGCATAGCTGTACATAAGTGGGGTTTTCAAAACATGAATAGGACGACAAAATGATACACATTCAAAATAAAGTATTTCAGATTTCTTTGCGCTCCTCTCTACTCCTAGTGCACAAAGAATCTTGATTTGCTGATTTATTTTCTCCTTGTTCATTCCGATTTATTCCTTGCTTTATTTTATTTCTCAGCATTATTTAAGACAATACCTGGTTCACAATTTTTCTCGTCATCCCCAAGTTTGCAGTCTTCATGACCATCACATTTCCATTTTGCTGATATGCAGTGGCCATTGGAACACTGGAACTGATCTCTTGAACAGCCTGTTTCACAATACCTCTGGTAAATAAAAACAATGTATATACAAGATCAAGAGTTTAATATAAACATTGGTAAATATACAGCTGATCAGAGAAGTTACAGCCTATACTCCTCCACACTATGAAATACTGTAATGCCTCGTGAAATAAAATATATTTGTAGATATGATTGATGAAAGGTGGCTTCACCTTCTAAGTAGGTGGGAAGCACCTGAGGTCCAGCACTGGCAGGAAAGGAAAAGGGACAAAAGGGACAGGAAAGAACAGAAAAACAGCAAAGCAAATATCCAGTGAGCTTCTGCTACACAAGAAACAGTCTACGTGGTGTTTTCTCAAAAAAAAACCAATTCATAAACCAAACCAAACCACTGCTGTGTGTAGAAAGCATGGTTCCCCAACCAGGATACAAAATATTTCCAGGATGGGAAGAGGTCCGGATCATTGCTGGGACAAAAAGATGTAGATTATTGTTAAACATGACTTGATTTTATTTGCATGTTCTCTTTTTAGAATAACTATTTCAATAGGTTTAGTTTTAATTTAGTTTTAATTTAGTAAAGACATTTGCGTATATGGATTAACGTGTAGAATTCCCTTTGCTGCTTTTTAAAATATTCATATGTGGGAATCCATTCTCCAACAATATAAAACTACTAAATTTCTAAAGAAATATTTTTCCTGGAAGAAGCCTACCTCATCTGAGCCGTCTGCACAGTCATAGTCTCCATCACACCAGAATCTTGCTGAAACACAGTCTCCATTTGCACAAAGAAAGTCTTTCAAAGTGCATGTTTGAGGCTCTGAATAAAGAAAAGTAACAACCCTAGGTTTATTAGCATTTCTATAAAACATTTTATACATAAAACTCCGCAATCAATCCATGAATGCTATAACAAATTCAAAACCACTAACTTGCAAACTATAAGGACTTTTCTTCCTGTAAGATTTTGTTTCATAACATTTTATAACTAAATTTCATTTACGTATAGTAAGGTAATAATGAAAATACTTTCATTTCAGTTCTATCAAATTTCTTTGGAAAATTATATGATGCTGAATATATAAATATTACTTAGTTCAATGCATGTATGTTATTACAGGTTTTGTGAGATATGTACCACAGACTAGAAATTCATTTTGCACCTGTTAATATCCAATGTACTTAGAACTAACCAGATCTTTGACCTTCCATCACGCAATAGCATACCATTTATCCCATACCTTTTAACACGTGTGTGTGTCAGGAGCCAGCTTCCCCTGTGCTAAGCATTCAGGGGAACAGTTTTGAGATGCTAAATGGAATGCCTAAAATTTAAGGTTTGGAGTTTCAAGTAAAATCCGTTTTGCAGAAATTAAGTATGGGCGGAAGCATGACAATAATCCACTGACTTAAATACTGACAAAATTGTTAGAGACAATTAACAGAATGAGAATACAGTGAGTTGCAAAAGTCAATGGACAGTATACTTTCATAAAAATACATTACTGTCAATTTGTTAGAAAACACAAAAAAGGAAAAAAAAGGTAAGGATAAGGATGGAATTTTCAAGTAATTTTAGGGAAACAGAAGGGAGATGTTAGATAAAAAGAATCTAAGGAGCTTACAGATGGATAGGAGACAGTAAAGATTGGAAGATAAGTGGGATATTTTGTGATAAATGGGTATGTTGTTCGACTCCCCGGGAAGAAACAAAACACAGGGAGGTCTGAAGTTATTATAAAAGGTGGACACAATAAAGGGGAAGAGTAGACACAAAATTAATTCAAGGTACAGGCAAAGCAAACAGGAGAAGCAGGCTGCAGGGAGTGATGGAGTAATCCTGAGAAGGTGAGATTGGCTGTTTCAGCCTATTTACTTCACTGTCTGCACAGCTCTGCATTTTCACTACTGCTGCCACAAAAACACTGGTAAGGGGACCACTGTGGAAGATTCCCCCAGCAGAATGCTATGTGCTTTCCTCCTGAAAATGAGGACCATTACAAAAGACATTGGAAAAAATGAAGTTAATGTCTGGACTTTGGGCCACTAGATTAAAAAAAGGTAGAGAAGTAGTGGGGATTGAGCAAAATTTAAGCAAGTCTCTCCATGCAATTTAGACTTTGCCAGTCAGAGAGCTTTGGGAAAGCAAGACTGGAAAAGCAAACGATTATTTGAGGGATTATTTCCATTACAGTAAACATTGCATTATGTAAATAACGTGACATCAAGAATAAGGATGAATTAGTAAGATCTTTTCAACAGAGAGATGGGAAGAGTTCAAGCAAATGGTAAATGACAGTGACTAAATCAGTGGAGGAAGGGTAAAAAATAAAGAGGAGGGACTGAAAGCAGACAGTAGCAATGGACAGTATGGTATGGATCGGGTAACGCTAAAGTGTCCTTTAGCTAGCTATGGAAGGTGGAAGCATGAATGCTTTTGAAAAACGTACCACAGTGATTAAGGAAAGCAAACACAAAATTAGAGACTTCCATTTGAGAAGAATTTGGTAAATACCAGCATGAGAATATACTAGGTAAGAGTTGCACAGATCTAAGGCAAAGTTGAACTTAGGGTTTTTTCTGGATTCATAAAAATCAAACTGTTTCCAGAAAGGAATAGTTTTAATAAACCTTTCAGCTACTTTTTTTTTTTTCTTCACTTCATTAAAAAAAGTCAAAATGACTCTGTTTGAAAGTTTTTAAGAGAAATTTCATTTTTCAGGTAGGCACAACTTTTCATTTTGAAGTTGTAGGAAAGTCATAATAAAAGCAGATCTACAGCAATTGCATCAGTTCTCCAGCAATATTATATTTAAGGAAATCAAAGGTTAGCATTTATATGGATTCTTAGATTATACACATAATACTTCGAATTTTTTTTCAAAGCAAAAGCTCACTGACATTTGACTCTTTTTGTTGTCAACAGGCCAGGAGGAGGAAGTGCACGATATGATAAATTATGTAAAGGAAATAATTTGTGGAAAAAGTAATGCACATGCAAATAAACATTTGTCATGTTTCTATATTGATTTGCAAAATATAAGCAAATACATTTTCTATACTACTAATGAATTATTTATAAGCAGAGATTTGATTCTGGAAAAATGTACACAATGAGCTAACTTCTCAATTCTCTGTTTGCAAGAAATATTTCTTCTGCTGCTGGAATACATCTCTGTGATTTACATATGAACACAGAACAGTACTTTCCCATCAGACTGTTAGAGAAAGGAATAAGTATTAACAGACTTCTGTATAACCAATGAAGGACAGCATCTTTCAGCTTCTGCTGTATAAAAACACTGAAACTCCTTCCCCAGAAAAGCATTTTTGAATTATTAGAAAGAATTTTATTTGAAACACAGCACATAAGATGATTGACTTTCACATTTTAAAGTCTGTAGAGCCAACAGACATTTGTCATCAATTTAAATGGTAGCAAGAAAAGGATCTCATGAGAAACATTTAAAGTGATTTCATATTTGGGGTTCAATTTTGCATTTAATAGGCATAGATATTGCACTAAGTCATGAATTGAAAGGATTTTTTTAGGAGACTGATGTACTGATATACAAGTCTGAGGGAAAAAAACCATAACTTTTTTTCTTAAAATAGGATATGAAGTTCAAACTTATAGTGTACTTTTTATGTGTATTTGTAGAGAATAAATATGTTTGCTCCTTGTGAGAATTCTATGTCTTGTAACAGCTGTTACAATGCAAACTTTTAGAGAAACTAATTTGTATAACAGGAAATGTGGAACTTGTACATAGAAAAAGAAGTAACAGCAATACAAACATGGGATAGGAGCATCTCAACCAAAATGAGTTAGAAGTGTACATTGACCTCTTGATTCATCCTGGCATTTGGCAGTAGATCATAAAGATTTAAAGGAATTAGGGGACATACTTAGGCCACACTTTCTTGTAATGAATGAGTATTCATCAGATCTACTACTAGATGGTTGTGTTGGAGTTGAAACCTTTCAATAAGCCAAGCCAGAGTACCCAGTATGATGCATCCACATAACATCAGCGAAACAGTATTACCATGATGTAGAAAGTTAACCCCGGAGGGCAGCTAAGCCACACACAGCCACTCAGAAGGGTAAAAGTTCAAAAACTCATGGGTTGAGATAAAGACAGTTTAATAGGTAAAGCAAAAGCTGCGTGCACAAGCAAAGCAAAATAATAATTCATTCACTACTTCCCATCTGTAGGCTGGTGTTTAGCTGCTTCCAGGAAAGCAGGGCTTCATCATGTGTAATGGTCTTGGGAAAACAAATGCCGTAACTCTAAACATGCCCCCTTCCTCCTTTTCCCCAGCTTTTTATTGCTGTGCGTGACCTCATATGGTATGGGATATCCCTTTGGTCAGTTGGGGTCAGCTGTCCCAGCTGTGTCCCCTCCCAACTTCTTGTGCACCCCCAGCCTCCTCGCTGGTGGAGCAGCTTGAGAAACAGAAAAGGCCTTGATGCTGTGCAAGCACTGTTCAGCAACAACTAAAACATCAGTGTGTCACCAACACTGTTTTGGTCACAAATCCAAAACAAAGCACTATAGGAGCCACTATGAAGAAAATTAAGTCTATCCCAGCCAAAACCAGTACACATGACAAAATGGAAGAGGAGTAAAAACCAAAACCACCCTTCCTTATAATTCTCCATTACAATACTGCTAAAAACAATAACATGGACCATCCTGCAGAATGAATGCCTGTAAACACAAGATAATTAAAATGGTCATAGATGGGGTTTTTTCATATATTTAATATGGCATTAAATGCAGATTTTCTTTACTTATTTATTTTCAATAACTTTACTTAGAATTGTATTTCACCAAAACAAAGACAACACTTGTTCTGTGTTAATCTAGGCATAAGACTGGTGGGTGTACATAAAAGAAGAAACCTTTGGTACGCATCATTTTATCATACTAAAGTAGCATACTTGCCTTTGGCTAGCATTGGCACCTAGCTGCTTTTAGAAAACTGACACCAGCCATTGTCTGACTTGCACCAAGTCAGCTGAGCCTTAAGCAATGTAAAGAATGTGAATTTACAGCACTGTCCACTCAAAATTTACTCAAGACGACATTACGAGACATTCCAGCTCAGTTTCTTTCAATATGCTGGTTTAAAATGTTTTCACTTAAACATTAAATAATTGCTAGGTCTCACTGCCTTTTGGATACAAACTTATCCCAGGACAAAATTAGATCATCTGTTTTCTTTACAACTTGTAGGAGTAACAAAACAGCACTGCAAAGATTCTCTAGCAACAGTAATATTTTTACACTGATTGAATTCATGTCTTTCTACAGTATTATTACATTTGCTTTGCTTCAGTGTTTACAGTGTATTATATTTTCTTTAATTATATTCAATAAAACATTTTTGATGCCTGCAGGAATAAGATAGTCATTACTATGGAATTTTCATTTTTTGAAGTTCCCTGAAAGAGAAAATACTATTTTTGCTCTAATTTGTTTTTAAAAATCCAAATAAACTCTGAAAGCAAATTCCCCCTCCAAAAAGATATTAACTCAGAAGAGTTAAAAATGCATTCTACTTTGCTTAGTTATAACTCAGTATGGACCTATAACCTTCTTAATAACTCTTACTTATTTGGGAGGGTCCAAATATAGTTAAAGAACAACAGACTGTAACACAAATACAGTTAAAGAACAAAGTCATAACAGGCACAACTATTTGCATTATACCACTAATAATTTTTCACACCCATATGTGATTTTTTTAACATGCATTCTGTTTCACTTCCGATAACTTCACCAGGATGCTGTGTGTGCATGCGAAGAAACTATATAGAGAAATGTAAATACTTGAGCTGAATTTCTAGAATTCAATGAATTCATTCTGCATTCTTGAGAAACAATCATTTTCTGTATAGTTGCCTGACAAGCCCTTTGTATATTCATGTATGCTATGAACAACTTATTGTAATGTGCAATGTAATATATTTTGTCAAATGCTTTCGAAGTTCTAATTTCGTGTATATTTGTTTCATTACACTTTATTCTATAAATGGCTTGACAGCCCATAAAGAATTTTATACATCTATTTCAAACAACAGAACAGTATTATGTATTTTCCCAATGCTTTCAAGATTTTGAAATTCACAACCATGTCGGCCTACTGTATTTAATTTAAACAGCAGAATATGGGATTCAACAGTTAGATGTGAAGTATGCACTTGACAAGCAAAAGAAAACGAAAAAAAAGCTAACACAAACTACAGTTCACCACTCCGGCCTTTAGTTTGATGCGCTGGCTCAGTCTGGGTACTCTCAATTCACTAATTCCATCTGTTACAACTAACTACAGATTTCTTTATCTGCAAGTCTAGAGAACAGCCAAGAACTAAATATATAACAATTATTGATGTGAACACAAAGATGGCAAGCTTAATAAATATTAAAAAAAAAAAAAAAAAAAAGGATAGATGATTGCTCCCTCATTATTTAACTTTTTTTTTTAATCACTTTGTACTATGATAATCTAAACTTTAAGGAAGAAAATTATTAATACTGGCTGATAAATAAAACCCACTTCACACATAGCAAATTTCAAATTATGCTTGACACTTATTTTGCAGACAGGAATAATATTTTGTGGAAGTTGTTTTTTTTAAAATTTTCAAATTTTCAAAAGATTATCTAGTCATCTAGATTAATAGCGCTATAGCAAAACTATGTCTCTATTTGATTTTTACATGAGAATAAGAGAACATAAAATAATTTCTTGGTACTTATAATATAAATGAAAATGGAAAAATCCCACTGGCACTAATAATCAATTCCTAAGTAAAATCGCTCACAAAGTTAAGAAGGCTTTTGTGTGTCAACGGCCCCCCAGTTATTACAATAAATGGCTCTGAGTGACTACTGAGCCACATGACATTTTCTCCTTTAGATGAAACACTTGCATATGAAAACTACAGCACTATTGCTTGCAGTAACTTGCAACATTTTCAAATGTAGGTAGTAATTAAAAGGCAGACAAATCCACTTTAACCTTTCAAGAAGAATGAGCTAGTCTTCAGACACCCTGTACCTATAGACACTGTCTCAAATTGGAGAAAGGGGCAGACAGCACGTACTCAGCATTAGAATGCCTAATTTATTAAGCTTTCTAGGTTATTACCTTGAAGATACTAAATATACATTCATGATATACAATCAGGAATATGCATTCAAGATTATCTACACAACAAGATATTAATTTCTTGGATTTCTAAGTAAAAAAGAAAGAAACAACAGAAATTGTCAACTGAAAAGAAGGCACTTCAGAACTATTTGTGGCATTTCCCTCTTGAAATATTTTATTAAAGACAATGATTATGAGATAAAACCATTAAGAATTTGTCATTTCTTCCTGAGAAACAGATCTAAATTAACTCACTGAAAGTGGTATTACGGAGATTTATTAGGCATTCAGGTTCCTCATAGGTAGGAGAGAACTAGGCTAACTGAGCTACTTTGAATAACAATCTACTTTTTAATGTGATTAAGTATTATAGAAATGGACTTCTCATGATACAAAACAAGCCAAATCATCTCAGGAATAAAATGAATATAATGGGCAGGCAGTGTTTGACCAAACTTTATTGTTAACAAATGTTTATCACTGTATCACTGAGCAGTTTGTGTGATTCTTATCTAGAGATAAGAAATGCGATATGTAACTTATATACAAAGGTAAACTAATTGTAATATTTATTTTGAATTAATCAGATTATTGAGAAGTCATAGGTCAGGCATTTTTGCATAGCTGATACAGAATTACAGCTTTTTATAAGAATGAATAAAATTGGAGAATTTCAGCAAGGGACATTTTCAATTCTGGTCAACAGATTTTCAACAGATCAGATGGCATTGTATAAAATATACACATGCAGTTTATCAAAATTGAAAAGTTTCCTCTTACATGTTGCTAAACTGACTCCACTCTTTATAATATCTTCTTAGGTAAAAGTTACTTACTACAGTTTTCTTCATCAGAATTATCACCACAATCGTTTTGGCTGTCACATCTCCAATGATCTGGAATACAGTTGTTGTTTTTGCACTGGAATTCATGAGGCCCACAAGTTTTTTTATCTGTAATTAAGATGAATATCATTTACATCATTGCAGACAAAGAGTCAAAATGGGAAAGACTGCTACTAAACAGTGACATGACAACATCGTTAGATAGATACATTTAAGAAGGAGAAACCATGCTACTTGAAATGTTACTTTCAGAAATAATTTATTTCTCATACCACATTCTTTAAGATTCAAATTATTCATTCATACCAAAAGAGATATGGCCATAAAGTTGATGATAAAATTAAAATATGGACTGTATACAGTGTCATTTAAAGTAAAAAATATGAAATTCAGAGTGATCACAAATTAGTTTGAGGAGAGGGTATTATTGCACTGAGTCTCAAAAACTGCATTGACTTTTACTTGAATTTATCTGTAAGAATGCTTTACAAAAGATCAGGTCGCAGTAAACCACAAGAATATTTATTTGAAAATGCACAAAATACATATTTCTCAAAAGTTATGTTCGGATATAATAATTTAAGACTAATCATACCTGACAGAAAACTTTGCATTTTGATTTACATTTTCACCTTCTGATGTCTTGGATTGGAAGTCTACTTATACAAAGTAAAACATTATAAAGCATATAATGCTAAACTGAGATTAATTTTCTTCATGTAGTAAATTTTCAATGAGCTTTCCTGTTTACAGAGTAGCATTATAGGCAAAGTCTCTTGGAGATGCATGAACATCCTGAACTCCTCCAGCAGAAAGGAGCTGCCTCTGTGTTTTATTTATATTTTTTATTTCTTGAGCAATTATTTCAGGTTCTAAGGACTGAGATGAAATGAAATAAATTAAAAAGTTATCAGTGACATTTTCTTGAAAAAAAAAAAGTTTGCTTTGTAAAAGCCTCAATGACATATTTAAAATTACATGTCACTGTGATGATATTTCAATAGAAATTTTTTAAATTTCCATTAGGTTATTTCATAGCATGTCAGTTCAGACTTCATATTGCTATCATGACAACTCAGTGAGTTCTAATAACTGACAGAATGAAGGAGGACTGAAACACTAGCTTAAATCAACCTGCTTTCTCTGCCTGTGAAATGGAAAGGACCACAAATTAGAGGTATTAGATTTGATGCTATGGCCCAAACTGCTGCTTTTTGTGCTTTATTTTAGGTGTGGTTCTGGAACTAGAGTGATAAATCAAAACTACATTTGAATATCAAGAAGGTGGAGGTAATGGTGTTGCAGCTCAGTTGTGTACACTCAAAAATTTGGTAATTACACTACTGCCTTTTGCATTTGTTCCTTATTCTCTGCCAATATCGTGATTGTATGTAGTTTTCTTCCAAAATACTTTTTCCTACGATGTTTCTCAAAATGACAGTCTATGACATTTCAATCATGACATTTCAAATACTTGCATTGGCAAGCGCTTAAAAAATATTTAACGTTACAAAACATAAAAATATCCCCCTCTCCCTGAAAATAAGACACTTTTGTAATTTGTTTCTGTAGCTTTGCAAAAGATCAACTTTCAAACCAGAAATCCATCCTATATTTATTAAAGTACTTCTAGTAAAGTCTACAATCTCCCATTAACATACCTGCCCACAAAATGAGTCCTAAAGACTAATGACAGATTATATTCTATTTATCCTTCCATATTCAACAGAAATACCAAGATCTAATCAGTAATACACAGAAGCCAGACATGCCATCCCTTCATTTCAGCTATCTGCTAGGATGAAAAGAACATGCAATATATTTTTTCTTATTCTTCATAAAGAATTACCTAGTTCTCAAGGATGCTAAATCCATTTTCTAGCATTGCCTCTTTACACTTGTGAAGAAAGGCTGGATTTTTTTTTTTAATTTATGCAAGTGTAGTCTAACCTTATGATTACCACTTGAATATTAATCCTTCTTTTCTTACGCTATTTTTACCAAACACAAAGGAATATTTAATTATTTTTTATACAAAATATTTTGCATATTCGTAAGGCTCTCTCTTCTTCACTTCACAAATCTGAAAGCTTTATGCTTCCTTTGGGTTGACTGATTCTCGTAGCAGCTTACACTTGACAGTGTCCTACAAATCAGATTTGCTTGTCTTGTATTTCCTTCTTCACTTTAATGAGAGCCGAGGAAAACAATAGGATACTAGAACTAAGATATAACAAAGACGAAGATTTCGGAAAATTGTATAACGAGTATCTGATCTTTGAGAAAGACTGATTTACTCAACTCAAAGGAAATAGTGCAAGACCTTATTTTTTTTGAGTTGTGGAACCCTGAAAAGCACACAGGGGCCCCCACACATTTTGTCATTGCTGTCTTCAACACTAAATTGCTTTCCAAGTTCAGATAGGAATGGTACAAAGGCAAAGAAGTAAGTACTGATAACTCAATTGTCATATTTCTCTCTTCAAATTATTATTAAGAGATTCATTGATCTAGTGTAACAGGCAAAGACCCCTTCTCAAAAATTTGTGTGACCATCTGAGGTAGCTGCTGGTTGGTTGGGGTTCATCTTTTGTGCATACCGAACTAGGATTTTATTTTAGAAATAATTCTAAATGAGCCTGAAGAAAATACAACGAAGGCTTAAATGGAAAACAAACCAAACCAAACCTCAAAATATTACATAGGGACCCTAAAAGCACTTTGATTCAAATATAAATCACTATGAATGAAAACACTATTTTGTCACTAATTGCACTACCTTGCCATTTGGGGATTTTAACTCCATATATGTGCACGTTTATGCATTTGTGGGGGGTGGGGGGTGTGTGTGTGTCTGAGAGGGATACAATCCAAAATGAAAAGAAACTCACTTTTGATCACTAGCTGTTCTAGAAGTTGGCAGGCTGTGACTGATGCTGGATACAGGAAATTATAAGCCTGTTGAAGGACGTTTAAGTTTATATAATGCATCCTTCAAATGTCTCAAAGAACACTGTCTTCATCATCAGAAAAAAAAACCCTACTTTGACTCTTTAGGCTAAAAATAAAATTAATATTAAAAAAAGTGAGGAAGCAGAAAGCAGTCATACTAATGTTGACACATTATGCTAATAAAGACCTGAAATACAAATAACCTTTAAAGTAGATTATAATCACTTTCCAAGACCACACACAGCTTTCTTCAGATTCTAACTCAAACAGGGCCTTTCTTGATGTAAAGTATTAAAGTTGTGAGCAAGGATTACCATAATCTAATGGCTTCTTTTAATTGCCTGGACAGAAAGCATGAATTAACTCTACCTACTGTTCTTTGAAGAACACCATACACTCATTAATAAACATACATTTCCTAATTCTACTTCGTTGTCTGAGTCGGAAAGTAACGACAGAAGACTAAATAGACATTCAGACTATTTCTAACAAATTTACTCAATATAATATCTCCAATAACACACAGTAGTAGATGTTGACTCAGCAAAATATATATATGCCTATGCAGCACTTAAGCAAAAAACAGATCACCCTTCATACAAGTTTTGCATTGTAAGCATTTTAGAAATGAACTATAACGATAACAGTTAGCATTAGCATCAACATATGCAGATCTTTATTATACTCAGCTTGCAGCTTTAGAATTTAATGCTATTAAGCTTTGTTCATAAAAATAATCATCTTTAAATTTAAAAAAAAAAAGAACCAACCAACAACGCAGAAGAGCAAACCGTGTTAAAACTACTGCTATAATAAGGTCATTTAAACAAATTTCAAATGCTAAAATTATGGAAAACTTTAAAATGTGATTAAACCCACCCTGTTCTTCTCAAGGCTTAGTTGTTTTATGTGTACATAACCGTGTGTGGCATAGAGATTGTGAATATGGATAAACTATTCTGTCTCCTCCAACACAAAAACTTAAGAGCATTATATGCAGCTAGCAGATTTAAAATAAAAATGGAGGTGGTTTTTCAGGGAGGTGTGTAATTAAGCTGTGGAACTCCTTGTTGCAGCATGTTGTGAAAACTTTACAAAGGTTAAAAGAGACTGAAATACATCAAGGGTTATTGCATACAGAGATATATTTGACTCACAGTATCTCTGATTCTCAAACTGTTAGAGGCTGGAAGAGTATCCCAATAAAGTTTTCATTACAGGCCTGTTTTGCTCGCATATTCTTCCCTAGATACTAGCTTTCAGTCACTGCCAGAGACAGAATAAAAGGCAAGATGAGTCTTCGATATGAACCAGCATAACCAGTCGTATATATTGTGACTGAAAAAACCTATTTAACTTGGGATTGCACGCATTGCACCTTTAATTGTTTGAGTAATTTGGACGTTATCCTTTCTATTGGCTAAAATGATGAATCACAGTGAAATACCTATGATAAATACAATTTTTCCTGTTCAGTGTTAGTTTTGGGGTTTTTTCCTCTTTGCTTTTAAACTTTGTGTCCTGAGGATATTATTAGATTAATTATTTTAAGACCCTTTGTGCCATATCAGTTGGGCTTGCATGGGTTACTAAAAATATGAATCCACAGTTTGGAAGCTTGGAATGCTGTCCGACTTGGAAAGAAACGGCATCTTGGAGACCAAGGTGATGGGGGACAGTGCAGGAGAAAGGACCTATGAAGTGAATCAGAAGGTCAGCAGTGCAGGGGTCGTTCTATAATAGCCCAGAAGAAGACATAAAGAGTCTCTATGGCAAAGGTTCATCCCCTTTGCATTCACTGTTTCTTCAAGCCAAATGATTTCCTGGACTGTAACTTCTCTCCAGTTGATATGATTAATTAGTTTCTCCTTCCTGACAATTCAAATGTGGTCTTGGATTTTCAGTGTTGAGGAAGAGTTCAATTTCCTAGGCATATTTACCAGCTCCAATATTTTCATATATGGGGTTGTGTCAATTGCTTGAAACACATCCATGGAAATTTGGCTGTCTCTCAGTGCTTTGTTCTTGATTACAGCCTGTAATTTTGTTACTCTGTTGTCCCAGAGGTAGCATACATGCGTCCAGACTCATGTGTTTCATCAAACCATTTATTGATGTGTGGATGAATAATGGTGAGAGCTTGGAATGTTCTGTACAACTGTTTTTCTTGTTCTCTTCCATCTCAGAACAGTTTCCTATCTTTTCCTTTACAGACCTGTCTTGAAATTTCCACGTTTTTCTGCACTTAGTGAGTGTGCATCTTGCATTGACATCCATGTTCAGTGATTTTCCAACAATACTGATCCACTTATTCTGACTCTGACTATCTGTAATCTATTTCCCAGGTGGAATACTTATGTTTATTATTTTCTTTCATTTACAACAAAAGAGCTGACTCAGTACTTTCCAACAATGCAAGCAATGACTGAGAACAGCTACTACTACTACTATAGTGATCTGTTTTTTTCCAAGTGATGATGAATACCATTACTAGGCGTATACAATAAAATATCATGTACAGACCAATGTGAAAACTGCTTAGATTTTCAACTTTCTATAAGCACTGTCATAATAAAATAATTTTAACTGTTTCTGCAGAAATATCATCAATTCATCTGTTCTGTCAATAAGAAATATGCTAAAAACTGTAGAGTTCTATTTGTGATCCAACAATGAATCTTCAAAACAGCAATGAAAGAAGTTCTTGGATTCAAAGTTAGTACTTATGATCTAAAAAATCTGCCTCAGTGGGGTAGAACACTGAGGTTCTGGATATTGTGTAAAATCTGTCAGAAATTAGGGCTTCGTTTGCTAACGGTGAGATTCTATCCTTCATCTTTTCTGTAGAGGATCTGCCTCCTCAAACTGTAGAATTTAAGTACAGAAGTTTCATAAGTATCAGGGGTTCTTGGAGAAGTCCTGTGGGGATGCGAAGTTTGCGGAGTAGTGTGTTAGGGCACATAAATCCCTGAAGCTCACAGAGAGAAGCAAAAGTGGGTCATGTCAAGTTGGAATCTGCTTTGGATCCTTCTGCACAGCCAGTCTTAACTAACACGATTTGCAAATTATTACATTTTTCACTATTCATGAAGTCCAGCAGCAACAAAGTATGCAGAATAAATTGACAGAAACTGGATAATAATGTGAGAAAAATCAAGAATGTCACTATATTCCAAAAGAGATACTAATTTACAGCTCCTGCCAATAAAGTAGTAGTATAATATGAAGTTTAGAGATTACTCATATAAAGATTACCATTCAACAGGAACTGCATAAGCCAGATACAGCTATCATATCAGATAGATTTTATCATACATTGAAAGAAGACATATTAAGTGGGATGATTATTTCCTTTGGTACTTTTTTCAAAAATGTCAAGCTACTGTAATATTTCCAAAACCACTGGCATACTCACCACAGTTAGCTTCATCTGATCCATCAGCACAATCTGGGTCTTCATCACATACCCACAGTTTAGAAATGCAGTGTTTTGTTGTTTTACACTGGAAATGGTCTGGAGAACAACTGTTTTCAGCTTTAAATAAAAGGATTCCAAATTAAAACTAGAAATTTCTGCTAATATTAAGGATTCAAAAATTGGATATCTCTAGCATCATTTATGTAACATCTGTAAGAAAACAGCATTCAGGTTTATATTGTTTATAATTTTGTCTTCTTTTTATATATTATTTTATATATAACAGTAAGGTCAAATGAATCAATTGTGATATTCTTTTGACAACTAATAGATTTAACATTGATACAATCAAACCACTTTAGTAAAAAGCAGTCAGACTTTTTTTTTTTCCTAACTTCCTAAAACACCATTTATCAATTCTGAAAGTCAGTTTGAAGGACTAAGGCATCTCTCAATGCTTTGATTGAAAAGGTAATCAAAAGGATGTACAATTTTGGTGAAATTCTGTGCTCTGTGTTAAAAGAGGCCATGGGTAAATGGTGAGAAAAGTTTGACAATTATTTCACTTTATCAGTTTAGCAGAACAATTTTTTGAATGAATCCGACAGCAAGATAAAGACACAAAGATGCAGCTAACCTTCATCCTATTCTTTCAGGATGCTTTAAGTTAAAGCTTAACTGCTTTAACTTTAGAACAGCCACTTGACAACAAAAAAGATCCTCAGCGCACTCATGTGATTCTAGATCAACTCCCTCACAAGCATATATGCCAAATCTTACTATTTCTTAAACTGTTATAAGTGAGAGTGCAGAGTCAAGGTGAATAAAGGACATATATCTGGACCGGACTGTGAGCAAGCTATTTGTGATCAGATGCATAAGGATTTCTTTAGAGATAAGCATATGTATAAGAACCTCCAAATTGTTCTAAACTGAACTGAACATAGGTGGAAAACAGTGATCTATTCTCTGATAATGTTTTCCACATGAACGTTTGTCCTACTTTTCCCTAAGGAACTCCATAAGGTTTTTAACAAACTTTCCTATCCCTGTTGAAAAGCAATTTGCTCCTTGATACTATCATTCTTGTTTCTTGGGTTTGGCAAGATGAAAAATTTTAGGTTTGTTAAAAGTTGGTGTATTATTTCTTTCAGTGTCATGTTTCCATGCATAAATTTACGGTGCTGGAAATAAAAAGCATTTAGACTTGGCTATACTGCTAACTATACTTATAAAAAATAATACTGATCTCAGCTATGACACCTCACTAGGGGATTTCTAAATGCTTTACAAGGAAGACCAGCATAATTATCTCCATTTTACATATGGAAAGCCTTAAGTACGAAATGTGACTTTTTCAAGGTCACTTGACATGTAAAACAAAACAGTGGTAGAGCTGAAAAAAAGGTCTGTATCTTATGAATCCTAGTCCAGTGAAATTAGAATGAAATAGATAATCTCATCTGTTATCTGTCTTGTGACAGGAACCCAAGTCAATATGAACTTTGTGGCAGACCTACTTAAAACCTCCCCTTTTCGTAATCTCCCCAAAGGCAACTGAGGAGTTTCCAGAAGCCATAAGTGAGGCTTTATTAAAATATAAACTAGCACACTTAACTTTCTTAAGAGAGAAGCTAATAAAGACTAGGTAAGACAGAACAGAAATTAAAAAAGTATATAATTAACCTCCCCCCCTCCCCACTGTGTCTTTGCAGGTGGGTTGATGGTTGAGTTTCAGACAATTCAAAAGCTTGCTTTATATCACAGCAGACTGTCCTATCCCCACTAATCCCTAGGAAGTTTTCAACTCCATCACCACTGATCCTGACCCTATCCCTCCCACAGTCCCTAAGCACTGCTGCGCTGCAGACTCCGCTGCTCTGATTTAATTTTTGTCAGCTACACCTCAAGGTTTTAGGAAACTTCCATATACCATGTGCAGTTCTTTATAACAAAAAAAAAGCAATCTCCCTTATCTTCCAGAGAAGTTTACCTGACTCCACTTAATCAGTTTTTAAAGAAACATAACATGCAAACCAACATGTAATACTGTCTGTCAGAGACTACAGCTCTGCTGAGCTGTTTGGAAGATGGCCATTAAACATGACCATCAACAAAGCCTTTGTATCCTTAGCAACCCTTCCCTCGGAGAAGGCCATGTTCTTTGCAGAAATGCAGCATATGCAAACCTTGAGAAAGCTAATTCAGAAAATAGGAATAAGCACCTTGGATCAGCAGTAGATCTGAATAATGAATTGAGTGAAGGACAGAGATGTATTTCAAGACAGCACCATCATTTTAATTATAAAATGATCAAGGACACAAGCTATTCAATACATTTCCATTCTAAATCTGAAAATATTTTCTCTACTTATGTCTAAGAAATACGGAGTGAAAATGAGTTTATGAAAAGTAAGAGGTATTAAAAGCTGAGTAAATGGAAATCAAGTTACACAGGCAAATTAATGAAGAAGTCCCCAGAGGAAAGGGAATAGAAAAGGTAGAAAACTCTATCAAAGAAATAGGGTGTAGCAGGAGGTATGGATCTACATCTTTTCCAATAAAAGATGCAGAAAAATATCTTTTTCCATTGAAATGCGTTGCTGCAAGGCATGGCAGATGAAAGCCTCAAGAAGACGAGTCATTTGTGAGGTGGTTAAGAGTAAAATGGATGTTTCAGCCCAAGTCAGAAACCCAATTAAATGCTTGAAATTAATTATTTATACACCCCTCTTCTTTGCAATGACTTTAAAAAAATGAAGTTAATAAATGACATTTTAGTTTGTTCTCTTGTATATGAAGCATTGTACACCAATCAACCCTGTGAATTAACTGTTTCTTATGTTCCTCAAATTATTTTACATAGAGGACATTTACAGTACTTTACGTATTTTACTTCCGTTCCTTGTTTAAAACCAGCTACAGTTGTCAGAGCAAAATTCTCTAAATATAACTTACGACAGTCTCTTTCATCTTCTTCATCACCACAGTCATCCTGTCCATTGCATCTCAGATTTATTGGAATACACTTCTGATTCTTTGTGCATTTGAACTGACCTGACAGACACACATGTGTGTCTGTAAGTTAAAAGAATAAAAATATAAGTTAAAAAGATTAAAAGTTAAAGATTAAAAGATTTAAAAATTAAAAGGTACAAGAATAACAATATAGTTTCTTGACAGAATTTAAAGCATGGCATTTAAATCAGTTCAGCATGTTTCTGAAGTCTACAATGTATATAATCACCTACCACAGTTCAGTTCATCAGAATTGTCCCCACAATCGTTCTCTCCATCACAGATAAAGGCTGGCAGAGCACAAAGTCCAGTTCCACACTGAAAACGTCCTGGCTGACATCTGAATTCAGCTGAGAAAAGAGAAAACCGCTTATGAATACTATCAGAGGAATGGTTAAAATATCAAGTGTTGTTCTTCCTCTATGGACGACTCAAAAGAACTTATAAACCTTTGTATTTGCCTATATAATCTCAATCTGAGTAGATATTAGTAACTAAAATGTACACGTACTATTGTAAAATTAATTTCAAAGTCTGAGATTTTAAATCTGCATAACTATGTTATACCTTACTAATGATACAGAGTGCAACCAACCCTCTACATGTTGATGCTTACTATTAGCTCAACAGAGACTTGCAATTTGAGATCTAAACACTTGAGTTTAAGAAACTCACTATCCCACCCTAATTCTATTTCCCATGAAAGCTCTAACATCATTCCTTCTCACAGACACTGCCATTTGAGTGAATGAGCAATTATGCACCTCTATAGTAATATAAGTGTAGCTTAAAATGTAATCTTACGTAGAATGATTACATATGTTAAAGCTTTCTTCAAAGGCTTTTGCAGGAGAAAAAGAGAACTAATTATAAAATTGTAAAAATATGGGTGAGGGATTTCAATTTAAAAAAATCAAATTAACTGTTACTTAACTGGAAGATTGTAGAAGAAGATAGTAGAGCATTTTGTGTACATAAGCTTAAGGGAAGAAGGCAAGAATCTTTTGATTTATGTAGATTAATACAGTAGTATTAAAGTAGTCAGTGACTGGGACTGAAAAGTAGCATCATCAACAGATATTACTATTTACGAATCCAGTACACTAGGAAAGGTACTTTTCTAGCAAGTAAACCTGCAGTCAGCTACCATCCCAGCAACCATCCTTTGGGATGCCGAAAACATCATCATAATTGACTTCCAGTTGTCTACAATTCAACAGGGGAATAGTATAGTAACCTACTATTTGGACTATGTGAGGCTATCGAGAAATATGCTGTATCTGCAGCACCTTCAGGATAGTGTCTCAAAGTTACACAGGATGCATGAAAAATGTTCATTGCATAAAATTGTTCATACTGGAGGAGTGAGATTTAGCTCTCCAAACTTTCCTTTGACAATATTTATAAAACTATGAAATGAAAATATTTATATAAAACATGTTGTGAAAAATACACAGAATCTTAGTAGGAATCACATGGAGAACATTGTTGTTGTTCAGAAAATTGCACTAAATAATAACGTGTAGCTAAACTTGCGTGATGGCAATGAAACATAAGCAAACGAGATTGGAATTCCACATTTCTATTATATAACAAAATAAACCAAAGAAACTGGCAGAATTTTGTATTTATATATATAAAAATCAGCAACCTCAGAACACGCTGTAAAATAAAAATCTTTAGCAAAAATGTAACTGGGATCAAGTAAAGGTTTAAAACATGAAAAACATGTTCTGATGATTTTCCAAAGACCTTAAAAGACCCTTAGTAGACATGAGCTAATGAAAATCTTTTACTGGCTGACAAACAAGAGCCTGCACCCTTTGTAAATTTGACAGAGACCAAGGAAAAGAAAACAGTACTGTAAACAAACGCATTCAAAAAAATCCTCTTCCTAACATCTATAAAGCATTATATTTGATTTGGACCCTACTGATCCTCAGGCTCGTCAGAGCCATCTCCACAGTCATCGACAGTGTCACATTTCCACCAAAACGGAATACATTTGTCAGTTTTGCAACGGAACTGTAAAAGGAAGGAAAGAAGGAAGAAAAGCTTTAATATGAATATTTATTTATTTATTTTTAAACAGAAATAGCACAGTTTAAGAAAATTAGATTCACTGCTTAAGTCATTGTTTCAGGCTCGTCAGAGCCATCTCCACAGTCATCGACAGTGTCACATTTCCACCAAAACGGAATACATTTGTCAGTTTTGCAACGGAACTGTAAAAGGAAGGAAAGAAGGAAGAAAAGCTTTAATATGAATATTTATTTATTTATTTTTAAACAGAAATAGCACAGTTTAAGAAAATTAGATTCACTGCTTAAGTCATTGTTCCATTAATCAACTCTGGCTGTTAATTTTATAAAACTTATTTTTTAAATATTCTTTTTTTGGAGATGTTTTGCACTGAGACTTCCACTGATATGAATCACTGTAGTTTCAATGACATTGCTACACTGACTTATAGTGCCCCTGATACAAACCACTCACCGCATTTTGCTGCATTCTATGATTTGATTCTTTAAGATCTTATTCAAAACAACCACTTCAATTCTTAAACAGTCTTTGTAGGCTGTTGAAGCAGACTTAATATCATTTTTCCTGATAAACCAAAACACCCACAGTTACAGAAAAGGGCCTTAATGTGCAGTGTGGTACTTGCATACAGTATTGCTTATATTGTTTGAATTAAATGAGAAAACCAGAAGCTAAGCCTTCCAACCTTTCAAAAGGTACTTGTACAAAAAAAAAAATCCTTTGCAAGACCTTGGCAGTGCCTTTACTCTGAGCTCAGGCAACACTGTACCTTTGATCTGACTGAAAGAGGAATGCAAACAAAACAAAGAGTAGAAATTACTTGACGCAATCTTCTAAGGCTAAACCTAAAATCAGAGTTCATTATGTGGCTAATGCTAGGGAGAAAAATCTGGATAGATTATCAGCAACTTTCAAGAAATGTTGTGTTTCCTACCTGGTGTCTGTATGAGCACAGAAAAGAAGGAAACTGGCAAGTTTAGAACTGCAAGACATTTTATTTTCTGTGACTAGGCATAATTTTTTCATTTCTTCACATTTTAAAAACAATTGATTATTCAATAAGGCTGTATTTAAAAGGTATATTAAATTTGGTGCATTAGCTCAATTTTATTTTTTCTGCCAAGAAAATTTAGGGTTTCCTGGTCATTTATGTAGTAGGACCTATAGTTGGAGCTACATCATTCTTGTACCACATTGAGGGACATGCTGTATAAGAGGTTGGGTTTGAAAGGCAGCTATTCTAAACTGTTCAACTGTTCCACAAAGATATGCATCTCGGAATAGCTCAGCAGAAGGCCTCCAAATGTAGGAGACAAACAGAAACTCAGACAATTCTCGTTCTTAGTATTTTCTACTTGCTAGTGTAGCCTTCCTGCTGCTTAATTGTTTTAAGGTGCCAGCCTCACTCTGCGCACCACAAGGGACTTCAGGCTGTTAAAATGACATTATGAATTTCATTCCAGAAAATGGGTACTAACTCTTAGATGCTATTATGCTCTACACAAAAATGCTTGCATTCCCTTCTAAACTGCGGAGCCAGAACACTTTGCAAAATCCGGGGTCAGAGTCATATGGGTGTGCCTGGAATAGCGTGGAATGGCCTGAGTTTTGATGTTCTAGAGTCTGATGCGTTTTGTACTAAACAATTTCTCATGTCAAATTAGCTATCAAAAACAGCTGAAAGTTGGTAGACATGCAAGACCAGCGTATCAGCCATCAAACTCCTTTTCATCAGAAATGGCTAACAGTGGGTGTGTTGTGAAGAGCAATTACATCATAGGAACAGCTATGATTTTACAGCATCCTCTGAAAATCTTAAGTAGCAAAGCATATTTTTGCCACTGATCTCTGCATCTGATGCCATCAGATTAATGAATTATCAAACAGTAAAGAGATTTCAAAATTGGACGAAAATGACTAATAACCAATGTCAACTTGTAACTGTCTGTCTGAAGCAGCTTCTTCTATTTAACCCTGCTCTCCCCCCTATGGAATCCACAAGTGATAAAATATTGCTCCTGGAGGACCCAAGATGTGATGCTATCCTTCAATTCAGACTACCAATGAATTCTTTAGAAAGGAAGAGAGCCATTCAATCAACTGTTAGCATACAAATTCACTGTGGAATAAGCTTCCAGTGCCATTTAAAGAAAATTTTAAAAAAAAGAAAAAAGAAAAAAGTGCTGTTTTTTTAACCAAACAAATTTGAGAAGCTAGATATAGGGGGAAAATAGGTAAGAAATTCCTTGTTTTACAAGTGTTTTACACTTTCTTTTTGTTCATCACTTAATGGGAAGTAACAAGCAGACAATATAAACAGAAAAGATACGATGAACATAATAAAATCACACCAAACACTACCTTAAGGGAACAGAAGAAGACAGTGGGAAGGTTTCTTAAATAACAATATCACTTGAATGAAACTGTACATCATTTATTAAGATGACCATGGTTCCCTAAAAATTAAGAGTAAAACCCTTTCCTTAATGAGTACAGACAAAATGCATCATGATGTAGAATGTTGTAAGAGGTCATTAGCATACATATCATAAAAGCGGACTGCTAGAAAAGCTGGACTACTAGAAAGATTTTAAAGGCCATATGTACTATTACAATCAACCAATTAATTGTCTAGGTAGAACAGTCCAAAGACTTTTATCAAAGTGGTTCTCTTATAAGAAATCAGTTATTATTTGGTCATTTATTTAGTACTAGGGAATCCACCTCCCATAAAGAATTCAATGTTTTAATTGATGCAATTGTTAATTAATTGCATGTTCTACCATTTCCATTTCAGCTACCGAATTGTTTTTAATGTAACCCTATCATTTACCTACCTAGCTACCTGGACTGAGCTTGTTTTCTTGTATTAGTGTAAAGTTCGTTCATGCATGAATACTCCCAAATCATTGTTATATACACTTTGTATTTTTATGTTTCATATTTTATACAAATGTTTTTTCAAATCAATTTTTATGGGTTTAGTAGCTGTATTTGCTCTAGTGACTGGCAGAAACATCCACATTTGAAAGGGAACAAGTTCCGCATTCTCTGGAAAAAAGGCATTTGCAAGTCTATTTTCAACTAATAGCCGTGAGGATGAAACGCTTTAAATGCACCCATGAGTTACCTAGTCTTCAGCTCTTTTGACTGATGCTTCCACATTACGTGGGCACCAGCATTCATTATTTAAAAGCAGGTGGAAACACAGTAAAATATAATCCCCACTCCCCCTTTCCCCATACGTATGCACTTACCTGACTGGCAGTGCAGTTTGATAAGCATGTCTTGTTATCCGCAGCAAGGTAAAAATTAGTGGGACAGGCACAAGTATACATCTTGTTAGGGGCTAGAAGGCATAAATGACTGCAACCACCATTGTTTAGCGTACACAGATGTTTAGACACTGTGGACAGAACAGAAAAAGAATATCAGAGCCTATTATTTCGGTATATTTCAGGGTATCTGCTTTATAAAGGAAGAAAAATGTATTACACATACTATTTTTACAATGAGGCAACCTTTTCCTTTTGCCTTTAAGCTATTCTCTGTTGTGTGTGAAAATTAATTATTACTATGGATGCAGATTCGACACTGAAAGAATGAGAGAAAGAAAAAGCACTAGGTTTTTTTTTTTTATGAGACAAAAAATTAGCTTATCTAGGTCAAGTGCCAAATTGTATTCAGTTACAATTCAAATACATGAGGAGATGAGACACAATCGTAACGCCTACATTTTCTGACATTCCCTCAGTCTAACAAGTTTCTAAATAACAGTATTCTTCTGTATTATTAACACTCCCTTACTTTTCAAGTAAAAAGGTTAAATGTTTCAAGTTCCCATCCTGATAACTGGTAACTCAGACTGTAATGCAACTTAACAGGTCCGTACTTCTAGTCAGTATCTGGGTTAATTTTTAAGCACCCAAATTGGTATCTCGCCACTGAACAAGATATATCACATTTATTTAATACCAGATATATTTACAACATTAATCACAGATTTATGTTTAAAAATGTTAATTTGAAAGCTTCCACAATTTGAAACAAAACAGAAAAAAAAAAAAAATCACTGCAGCTAAACGAGCTTCCATTAACTCAGCAACTGGCTACTAAGTGAAATATATCAATGTGCTGTATGGAAAACATAGACAGAATAATTACCATCGGGTTGCCTGTAAGAATGATACACCTGGATGTCTGTTATGGTATGCCACGAGTTAATCAGTGATAGTCTGTCTGATCCAGAGGTTTTGTGGGCACGGCTGAGTGATTTGGTTTTCCCATCTGTCCAGTAGATGTAGTCTTCAAACAATGTTAGTGCAATCACCCCTGGAATATCTTGATTAGGGACTGTAAGAAGAGATGCTAAGATTAATGTTCACTCTTGGAAGACTGCCAGTTAAAATATTCCATACTGCATGGGTTGACAGATACAACTGCTATATAATGTCTTGAGAATAATTGTCATGACAATATGTCAAGCCTAGAGGGTCCTTTATTACCAGTTACGATAAAGATGGATGGGGCACGAGCTCTGCTTGCTTACAATTAGTTGGCCCAATCAGTGTTAAGGAAATGAAAGAATTTCAGTTAACAAAAATCACCTCCAGATTCTAAACCAATGACATGTTAAGCTTTAAAGAAGTACATAACATAAATATAACTTAACCTACTCTTTACAGAAGGCTAATATTCACTTGCTGTTTTAGGGGAATAAAAGTTATTAGAAAACATCCAAAACGTAAGGTATACATCTCCAGATGCACTGTGTTTTACACCCTTTAAGACAATTAATAGTATTTTATTTCTGTAAAATATACTGACAAGAGAGACAGGAAAAAAAAAAAGCTTTGCATTAAAATAAACATAGCAGTAACAGGGCTTACTGCTTATTCCTAGCATAACCAACCATACAATTTAAAAAAATAAAGTGATGATAATACCCTATCGTTACAACATCACAAAATTATGAGCCGACACCATTTTAAAAAGGATGGAAGGAAAAAAGGGAGAAAAAGCTTCGGAGCGTTCTTTATCCTACTGTATACTCTGTAATCTTGAACTATTTGTTCTTGGTAAACATAAACTGAACTCCACTTCTTTCTTCTTTTAACGTATATAGCTGTGATCACAAATGTCACAGGAGAATATCTGACTACAATGGTCAATTTGTAAACTATAATCTTTTGTCTCTGAATCATTCTAATTACTGATAGAGCTGAAAAGGCAGATCAGAGCAGCTGAGTCTGCCATTTTTAACCAGCATATCCTTAACACCTTTACCTTGTTTTCTTAGGTGAAAATAGCTTTATCTTTTTTTTGGAATGTGCTTAAATAGAGTTGGCAAATCTCAAATTCCAGTTGGAACATTTCATAGTTCACTGACAACTGATGACTGATACCGAGTATATGGAATGACAACTCAGCAAATTCAGTTTCATATACAATATTCTTGCCGATAGTGAACTCCAGTGTAGAGTATGTTGCCTTCTGGTCAAGGAAACCTTGCTTCTTAGACCTGAAATTATTTTCCCTCCTTGTATATTTACATATACCATAACCATCATATTGAAATACAATATGATATTCTTTTAAAGAGCTTCAAAACATTTCTAAGAAATTAGTCAAAGTGCGAAGAAATCTTAACTTTGGCACTTATTACATAGGCAACTTTGGCATGGTTCCTTACATAGTATAGCACCCCTGAGAAAAGCTCTTATAATTTCCCTTATTTGTAGAATCATGTTGTGAAAAGGGCGTTTACAAACTAGAAGTGAATCACTCCCCATGGCGATTGTTGCTATCCTGGTTGGAGTTGCTATCTGAGTAAGGAAGGGAAGAATTCTTGAAGTACCATTACTTTTAGTTTTGTTGCCAAAGTAACAAATCAAGTACAACAAAACAAGAATACAGAACTATAAGTACAAGTATTTCCATTATATTGATTCCTTTTCCTCTTTCCTCTTTTTCCTTATTTTCTCACCACTGGATTTATCAGAATAAATTGCACGAAAAACCTCTTAGATTCGGGAAAACACCCAAAGGCTAAACTAGGGTTTGTCTGTCTACTGGAAGACCTATATGTATTATCACCTAATTAGATCAACTACTTGCACGTTAATTTTATCCCCACTCTGTTCTGGAGCGAACGAAATAATTCCCTCGGTGCAGAAAATAAGCTTTAGACTAGACAATAGTACCCAGCTTCACCCTACATGTAGTATGGAGTGTGGGGGGATCTCTAGTACTGCAAAAAGAGAAATGAACCCTGCACCTCATCACAACTGAGCCCAAGCAGTCAAATCCCAGTCATTACCTGGTTTTTTTTGTGTTCTTTTGCTTAACATGGGTGATTTTCCTTGAACCTTCTTGAGAGATTCCTTAAGCTCTGCATACATCTTTGATAATGATGAATTCAACCTACTACTGTTCCAGAAAAGGCATGTGTAGCTAATTCTAATTTTAAAAAGTTAATGATCTTTAAAATGCTTTAGCATAATTATTAATTGGTAATACTAATTATAACATAATATGCTTACTACCAGATTACTGCAATTAATTAAGGAAGCATAGAATTTACACATTCATGTCATTTGGAAAAAGGAAATTATAATTCTGAATTATTTCAGAATTATTAGTTCATCAAAATCTGTGTACATGCATGCTCTGTTAAAGAAACACCTTTTGGTTTGAATCACTATCCAATATTTCAGCAGATCCCTGAAAAACTGGACTCTCTCAGACCTCCTCTGTTGCTTCTCTCCCCAGTTAGTTACTTCATTGAATTTAAGTCATTCAGTTGTTTTATTGTGCTATTATATTTACCATGGGATTTTGAGTACATCTGGGCACAATCCATTGTGCTATCTTTATATACAGACACTTAGGTATATTAAACTCAGCACTTTTTATTTTAGGTAGATTATAAACATTTGCTATTGAAAGTTTTCTTGTAACTTTTAAGTCATATGATTGTGCCACAGTACAAAAATTAAAGGACAAGCAGGAACTTTAGCTGCATCTGCAAAACTGCAGGAGATTCCCCACTGATCTTAAAGGGCAGTTTCTAATGAGAAATACAAACCAGGCTGACAAAAGAAGCAGGAAGGAACAGCAGAAAGAGAAACTGCTACTCTGAGTGAAACCCTAAAGCTATCCGTAAAGCTATTTATTTCATTTTTGCTTGTGTTCTGGAAAAATATCTGTTCATATAAATTATGACCCTTGCTGCTACTTTTGACATCAAATTAAAAATTTCAAAGAGACCACTCCAGTCTTTGTAAATAAAATATATGTGCTTTTTTCTTTGTCTGTTTTCTCTTATTCTGATCACAGTTAAGATTAAAATCAGAATAAATGGGCATGTAAAAGCCTTAATGCACATGAAGACGATTTACATAAGAAAAATATTTTGATTGGTTGTTTTTATTATTCTCCACCAATGAAAAATACATCTAGCAGTCATCCTCTTTTTGGCCATCCAGGAATTACAAGTAAACACCATATCCTGAGTACAGAAGTATGAGTAAATGCTTCCTTTTGTTTCTATGTACGTTTGTGGGTTGCCATACAATTTATCTTAGCTTCAATGGATTATGCACACATCAGAATCCAGATGAAACTTTATATTCATTAACTAAAAAATAGTCAAGACAGTAAAATGTACTGTCTGGATTCTCTCATCACACCTTATTAATAGGGAAACTAAGTTTAATGTGTGGCGTAAAATGTTAAATACTACAGTTAGAGAGCTGCATTTCAGAAAACAGCTGATGACCCAAGTACATTTTTCTTTTTTTTTTTTTAAAGCCAATTCTGTAAGCACCAGGTTTAGAAACTAAGATTTTCCAACGACCCTAAAAACAAAACCACAATATACAACACAAAGTAACAAATATTATATTCTCTTTTTTATGTTCTTTAAAAGAACTATGACAAAGTGTTTCTGTTTCTAAAAATTGGATTTTCCATTATTGCCACATATTGGTCAAAAGTTGAAAATGTCAATGATTTAAGCTCTCGCAGATTAAGGTTGTAGTTTGTTCTGCCACTATTTCTGACCTCTAGATAAAGAGAGCAGTTCATTCTCCAGAATGACCTTTGAGTAACTTTATAATTTTAACGGGCTTCTGTGTTACAGTCAACTTATCATTAAGTAATGTTCAACACAAATTTGATCAAAAGTCTTTCAGGAGCTTCCATCATTTATGGCTGGAAAAGCTACAGGTGTTCTGTTGTGACTATGAAACTTAGAGAAAGTTACAAAAAAAAAATTCAAGGAAGCAATGAATGGACTGTGTTACATAAAACAGTAAAATAAATGCAAATAAAAATATACGTAAAGTAAAACACACAGAAAATAAGTATAGTATCAATGGATGCAAGTATTTCTTATAAAAATTATTCTAAGCTGACCGTAAAACTCAAAGTATTTTCTTCCACTTGGTACATCTGTAAAGACTGAGGGAAGTTTCCGAAAGCAAAAATTCAATGGCAGCTAGTTCTGATTTACTTTACTGTTTGAGGAATAGTTCTATCATAACTGAATATTATTTTTCTTTAACTTCTAGTATATTATAATGGAACATCAGAACTGTTGACATGTAATAGGTTATAAAATCTACAGTTCACATAAACTCTGAATGACCCCAAAAAATGAACACAAAACTGTGAGGGAATTTTTACATCTTATTTTCTGACAGAACAGTAAAATAGTCTCTCATGCTCTTTATTCTTTGCCTTTGAGGACACCAGTGTTTCAAGCTTTCTGAAATTTCAGGTGGTGACAGCTATTGATTTATCATAAATGTATGTAGTAGAAGAAACACCCATTTTCTTTCTTCAGTCTTCCCTTTAACTTCAAGAGAACCTTAGCTGCATTACTGATCTACCTCTTCATAAATGACATACATTAGTTGCAATACTAATTACGGACCTCACAGCATACAATATGGTGTGAATCACAGTTTTAAACAGGAAAGCAAGACCAATTGCTCTCCTTTCTTTGGCAAGCACTGTAAAAATGGACTACTTTCTGCAAATTCAAAGTAAAGCCAGGTTAGTCACAACTGAAAAGTACCTCTGCTTCCCCTGCATCACCTATTTGAAAACATTTAATCAAGATGTCTACTTGACAATCCATTAGTAAGAAAGTGATATATTCTGTTAAACACAAAAATTACGTTACACCAACATAAGGGTCAAATCTCGACGAGCAAATTCATGGAGAATTTAAATAGTCATGTATCTTAACACAGAGCCATGAGAATTGTACTTACTTAGTACTAATTACTTTCCAGAATTACCTATGCATTCAATAGATATTTTTCTTTTAAGGTTTCTCATAACAATGTCACCCTATGGCTTCTATGAAAGCTTCCAAAATTGGGTTGCAGTAAGCTGAAGCCCGATCCATATCTCAAAACATTCAGCAAAAATAACTAATACAACACCCCACCTGCAGACCAATAATCCACTGGATACAGCTCTAGCAGTCCATAAGTATTTTACTAGACCAGTACTTACTACATGTGCTTTTTCCCCCTCATTGTTAGAGCATCAAATCCTTAAATAATCCCTTGTAACCCATGCATATTACTTCTCTCCCAGATGAAGAAATCTCAACAACTATAACTGAAGTGCAGTTCAGTTAGAAAAGGAATAACTGCCCAACTGTCATAGGACTCAGACTCCATCATCATGGACATCATGGGCACACTGGACAGCTGCTATGGCATAAGGGAAGAGGCGAGAAGTGCCTTTAGCCCCTGTCATAAATCCTTGCCTGAACAGTATTACTCAGCTGACTGCTTCCACTCAGTCCCAAATAGTTACTTCAGTGACTCAAGTTTCTTACAGCTTACCGTACAGTACATCTCAGAACATATACGCCAGTTTTCATATACTGCAACACATGCTCTGTATCATATGAGTAAAAAATGCTTTACTTTGTGCCAGCAGCATAATCTTATGAATTCAAACTGATACATACTTTGATTTTCAAGACTCTGCTCTTCTTATTTGTGTAATAAAATGCATTATGGGGGTATATGCAACAACTTAACAATTATAAGGGACAAAAACCATGGAATGAAAAATCACCACCCTAAGTAATTTCTGAGGAAAAACTGCACCTGAAATTTGCTCCTACCACAGCCTCCTCCTACCAGAGATGGGCGATCCCTGGTAGGGATCCCTTGCAATCCCTCCTTTTCTAACAGGCCTTCTACTGCCACCTCTAGTTTTCTACTGGGGTTTCATTTCATACATAAATCATGGATTCTCTTACACTGAATGGTAATCCCAAACAGTGTTTGACCAAACAACAAGAAGATGAGAAATGTGATAAGAAAGAGAAGGCAGAAAAGAGAAGGAATGCACAGGCCTGTCGGAAAGCTGCAAAAAATAGGAGGAAGAAATACAGGTGCGTAGTAAAAGGGGAAAAAGGGAAGGCTTGCAACAGATTAGAAGCAGTGCAAAATAAAATTTATTAGGTACTTGAACACAAATAAAATGACAATAGATAACATGCTAAAAGGAGATAAAATGCTACATGAACTTAAGCGAAGAAGAGCCACATAACTCCATAAGAGGGAACGCGATTATGTAGACATATGAGAAGCATGCACAGACTTAAAATGTACGTCTGTCTCTCTTCTGCATTTTGTACTAATTTTGATCCAACCATATAAATTTATATGCTGTAAGTCATATCTGTGATAAAAAGGTCTACTTTTCTCTTGTGTGAACTCTGTTTCCCTTATATTTTCTGAGTACCTATACTTAAGCATAAAAAATATTCATTTGATTTCAGGGGTAAAAATCATGCCATCTAGGATTTAATTACAAAATATGCTTACTGAAGAAGCCATACAGAAGAAGTGAAGCCCAATCTCACTCAGCTCTTATTGAAACACAAATATTTCCAAAAGTAAAAGCAAATACTCTAAACTAAAATGAATTAAAGAAAAAAAAAAGGTGTCATTGTCAGCTGGTAAAATTCATATGCCCAGAAAAAGTGTCCTTGAAAAGGACAAATGCTGACTTCTTCTAACCAATAAAAACTACAAAAATATCTGTACTTTTATCATGTCCACCAAGGTTAGATTTTCTTTGGTGTTCGGCTCCTGTTCAAGCTGAAGCTGGCTGATCACTTCACTTCTGAGCTAGAAAGAGATCTGTCCTTTTTCCTTTCCAAAAAGAAGGGACTGCAGCCTTGCCATGCCCTCGTGCAAAGTCTACAAGAAGAGAAGGGGTGAAAGGTTCCTGCCATGCTCCTCCCAAAAATGCACCCAGATAGCATTCCAGTGCTGGTAACTGCTAAAAGTAATTAATTGTCATTAAGCAACATTTTAAATTACCTTCTTCCTCCACTGTGGCATTAGAGCAGATTCTGTTT